AGTCAGAGTATTGAGTACAATCCGATTTGTGTGAATATTTTTATCATAGGCCCACAAACTGTTCCCTCCTGACTAAAGAGCACACCGAGTGGCTGGATGTCAGAAAAATTAGTCTTTCTTTGTTCTGCTTTTGAGAAATCCAATTTGGATTTTGTAATTAAGACTACGTTTGTAGTAAATAATTTTTAACAGGTAATGAAGAAATTTTACTCCAGATATCGCCAGTTTAAAAGGACAGAGTTTTAATTATTTTTTTCTGTTACAGTGAATAAGTTTAGAGGTCGTTCCCTCTTGTTTCAATTTATCTAATTTCAATATGGTCCAAATAAATTGAATATGACTTTCCTTCCCATCCTGTCCATTGGCTTAGATGTTCAACAGTTCTCCCCGTAATCCAATTATTCAAAATCGGTAATCTCCAAACGATCACTGCGTTTCAGTATAACATTATTAGTCTTGAGGCATCGACGGTCAACCGCAAATTTGACTTCTCCGAAATTAAGAGTTCACTCCCTGGAGCCGTATGGCGTGAGTGGTCAGTAATTCAAAATATCCTGCTGAAGTTGCTCATTTTTTGTGTGGGGTGTCATTTTAGGAAAAATGTGGAATACGATCCCTTCATTGATTCTGCTCTCACAACCTGTGTGTCATATACCCACTATCCAGGTTTTCTATTAAAACATAAACTCTGGCTTGTTCGATTCGTCATGTTTACTTCCCATCAGATACATCTTTTGCACATAACGATGACAGGAGGTCACAGTCACGGCTTATTAATTAAGTTAAGCAGCTTTTACTAATGCATTGGATACCGAAATACCTCAATGACAGGCATACACACGTCCTTGATAATAACCACGTCTGTGGGGGAAATGTGTTGTTTTCAACAGTAGAAATTGTGAGGGCGAAAGCAGTAAGTAAGCGATACATCATTTTGGTGAAGAATACGGAGAACTCTACGTTGATATAATTCTGCCAAGCACTGCTTCAAAAGCGCTGAAGACTTTGCATTAATTCTGTCCTGTCGTGACCGCTGCAGTACTCTGTGAGGGCCATCTGAGCGGTTATCTGATATAAACAAACTTCCGAAATCTATTAGCAAATGACTGGACCCCATGGATCTTCGGTTGTAGAAGTATTTTCTTCTGCAGAGGGAATGGGGGCTCAGATCATTCCGAGCCTGTAACATAATTCAATTATTTCCGGGACTAACATGACTAATTTTTAGTTGTGCATTATCTCTGTGTAAATCTTAGGGCGTTGCTTTCAACACGAAGGTCCCTCTTGCCCCTAAACGACAGACGTCTTTATGACAAATGATGAATCGCAGTCCAATAAATCGGACAATGAAATTTCCGCTTTTCCCGCATCTCGTGAAAAACCATCAGTAGGCCTATTTATGCCCGAGGCCCCTGGAATTTGTTAAAAACCATAAGAACGGTCGAATGCACGGATTTAAGCAGAGATAGACATTCCTTAATTTGTTGCTGATAAACTGCTCAGGCAAATATTTAAGCGCCAGAAACAATAACCTTATGTTTGTTCTTAGATTCCGTCCAAGGTGACCGTGAAGTCTAGTGTATATCCCACAATTAGATCGGTAATTGGTTAGTTCCATTGGATGACAACTTAATAACACCTGTGAGTCTTTAATGCCTGTTGTATCCCGTCACTCACAGTGATAACAAACTGTCAATCACGTCACAATAATTAGTTGAGAAACTCTTGATAAGTCAGTAATTAGGAGGTAGGTCTCTACCCAATGTCATCCCATAATATGGGATTTAACAGTCTTTGCGAAAAGAGCAACAAAAGGACAAACAGCTAATCCGCAAGAGGTGCGCAATTAGTGGATGGATCGACACAGACGTTCCAGCGGGTGCATTCATGGGCCTTCCGAGTAGGTACCTTGATAATCTCATTGGTCACTTACCGGATTTCCAAATTGCTAATAATCAATAAGTAGGTATCAAAGTATCACACCCACGGCAATGTGGTATATCATAAGCTCTTTTTAATTTATATCCTTTCTTCTTAAAGTTTTAGGCAAAATCTTGTTTCTTCTGAAGTTGGGGCTTCAGTTCTAACAAGCACGGTGATTTTTATATTTTAGTGTGTCACATCATGATCTGATTGGAGTGTGCACTGGGTACTGTAACTTTATAGGGACAGTCGTATATATGAACGTACACCCAACTGATACTTCATTCGGGCCCAGACAACTCTGACCAACTCTTGAGAAGAGTTTGCCCAAGAATGTGCCATGCAGACGGTTGGCATTTTGATCAATGTCGTAACTTCAACTTCTTGAGCATCAACTGCCGCTTTTTGATGGTGTCTTTCATGTTTATTTTATTTGCTCTGGTGACTATTTCATACAACCAAACACTCCCTAACTCAAGGGAACTCTGAAAGGTAATTACATACCGTCTGCATCCCTGTAAGCAAAGTTTCCTGATCGATGAGATAATGGGGACTCTTGATCTCCTGCAGATAACCATCTAGACGCTCCACGATGTTAGCAAATGTTATTTTTGCTGTGCACCATTATACGGAACTTAAATTCCTGGACTGTTAGCCTGCGATAAATAGTCTGCGTCTAACGCTGAAACAGTTTCAATTAGCCTGATTTAATTTGATTTAACAAGTGTATCCAACTGACAGAAATGAGCTTTCGGAATGAACGTGTAAATATGCCAATTTGAGGGCAAGGGCAAAAGACCCCAGGGCAGGTCACAGGGGGTGCACAAATTTTCATGATTAGTAATGTTGACATACTAAATTGCACTAATATCCTTTCTGTCAAATCAATAACGCGTGCTGAGCGATGCAACGGAACCATGGAGTTAGTACCGTATCGATTTTATTGACAGGCCAAGGAATGCAGCACCTTCATGTGACATTAAATATTGATGGTGTTTATTCTACTCGCCATTGAGCCCCATCGACCAATCATTAGCCCTGAATGAATCCTTACGTCACGCGCACTCCAGAAAGTATCCAATACAGATTAAAGAGATCGATAAGTAATGTATCATCCTGGCGATTTACTATCGACTCTCATTAGTTATGACAAAATTACTATTAATGAGAGTCATTAAAATTTCACGAGAGGAAACACTCTGTGTCAGCGTTACTGTGTTATGGCGTATTTGGGGAACACCTTTAAGACGATGCATACTAATGCTATGCGTTTGTGTGAACGCAAGCGCGTACATTGTTAGAATTTTTTTCTGTACATTTACATAGAATGTTATATCAACTGTTATTACAAAATTATATCATGTTAATGAACAGAGGCTCATTTTGTACATGGACAGATTTTTATTTGTGGATTTACGAAGACGTTGCTTTCTGACTAAAACAATTATATCTGCGGAAACAACGTAGACGAGGTTGAAGGAGGCTGCTTACAAGGTTGAGGTTGGCTACCTACGCTTTTCGTTGGTAATGACATTGACATGTTTGGTTTTTATGTCATGTGTTTAATGTGTTATTTAATGTGTCCTCACCTGATCGATGCAGTATGATTACAGTTGCTACTCACTAGACTGATCTATAATGGCACGCAGCTTGCTTATAATATATGTGCATCGCTTTTTTCTTTCGAATTTAGTCACAGCTGGCAGAATGGTAGGTTAAAAACATATTTGTTTTGACAGTTCTCGTTTTGGGCACACAAGATGACTCGGAATAAAATTCTCCACAAAAAACATTACCTGTTACTCGCAATAACAGGAAACATGAGAAAAATGGCGAAATCGGCTTTATGAAAGTGGTTTTGTGCACCAAAGTCAATATGCAAATTTATGCTAATTCATGTTGCAGAGGAAAATTGTACATTTACAAAGCCTTTAGCGGGGTTCTGTTGTAACAAAAAAATCGCTGTACAGTCACAAAGTGCGTCCGTTACAAAGATTCTCTAATTACTTAATTACTGAAAAAGCATTGAAGCTCAACCCAATTTTTAACAGTGTATAGAAATAAATCCATTTTCAAGTTTGAAGTTCACACCACTTTTGGTAAATAGACGAATGTGTGGACCACTGTATACAGAGAAAACATTCAATGTAAGATTTTGTTATGATTTTCATGCCACATAAAACTAACGACAATACCCGTCAGGACCCGCTGACGACATTCACACAGTAGAATAGTAATACCGCAGAGATATGAACTTTTCACTTCGCAAAGATATAGCCACAGTTCTTTTTTTCTCGTTTCCTGAAACACATTATGCTCCTGCATTCGAATTCCCTCTTGTTGACCTGAACCGCCGATCACTTATTACGGTCTGTCCGTCCGTGAGTGGCTGCGCCGCACTTTTGTCACGCTGCGCGGGGCGTTTTGTTGAGTCACGGATGAGTAGATAGAATGATATAGTGGCAACAGTGTTCAACTTGCCGCACGGCAGCCGGCCAACTGCTAGACAGGATAGGAGGAGAGAACTCACAGGCCACCAACTGTCTGACTAATCACATGCGCGCTGACGTTGCGCCGCTCCAAGTACACATCACCACTTCGTGCCGCCCCCAACACAGATGTAAATTTGCTGCTGGAATGTACACATGCCAGACGGCGGACCTGTAAAGACATCGGTAGCTTTCCAACCAGAAGTATTCCCAGAAACTTTATATTCCTTGTTATCACTGGAGACAGTGACACTGCTCATATCAACAGTTAGCTGCAAACAGCGACCGCGGAGAACTTGGCGCATCCGAAGTCAAACGATAACCTCGTGGCGCTTCAACCTGCGCGTGGCTTCACCGGGACAGGGGCTATACCTGTCAGTGAAGACGTGTACTCTGGCCTATTCCCTGTGGAGTAACTGATGAAATCTTACCACTGAGTTGGGAGGTAACAGCGATAAGACAGTTCCAAGACGCACAGCATCTGCGGAAGAAGACCGGTGTTAGTTAACCAGTGGTGGAACTTGACTCACTTTATTTACGGTGACTTCAAGTCTCTCTCTCTGTGTCTCTTTTTATCAAACTTTGCAGAGCGGAGACTAATTTCAAAATGAGGCAAGGAATATTTCGTATGTTGCTTCTCGTCACAGCTGCCTGTTTGGTGTATTCTGCCACAGCATCAGCCAAAAGGGTGAGTTTTAATTTCTTGGTATTTCGTTAATATTGCATTTCGTATAGTCTGATACCTCTAGAACGAGAGGCATCTTCTCGAAGTACGATACTCCAGCCTCATCGGTTGGATTATGCGTGCTGGTTCTCGTTAATCTGCTACAAGTGTTTGAAGACACTTCGATTCATTTGTAGTGTGTTTGGTACATTCATCCGTCAGTCTGAACGACATTTTGTTGAGGCATGGTTGTGACATTGTGAACCTTGCTCTATGGTGTAAGAAATGATTCAGTCTAGGGGTTAAACGACAAAATGTTTGTTACCCTCTCACTTGAGGCAACAACCATTATCCTACACTTGTCTTCACCGGGGGCCATTTGTTAATTTCAGCGTTCCTTCGTGTACCTTGTAAGGGATCTGTTGAAGTGTACAACTCCGTGGCAAAAGTAATATATTTTATCGCTCCAATACATGGACGATGACAGAAACCCAATGTGTCAACACTCACCATGAATTATGTGCCACAGGGGATTTGCGGACATATTCCAGCTTCAGAACCTCATCAATAATTTTTGCTGGGCTTGTAGATTTATTGCTTTTATTTCGATGACGTTTGAGTACGCATGTCACTGCCAAGTGTATACTTTCCGTTTTGGGGTGTTTTGTGCCCCACAAGAAAAAAAGAGGCTGGGACAAATAAAAATGACAGATGGAAGGAACCCAAAGCCGGGCACGTCTATGGGTTCAACGAGTTGAACTTTTCGGGGCAGTACCGAGAACCGTTACAACAATACGTTGGGTTGAGCAAAATACTGGTGCCACCCGTTCGCGGTCAAAATGATGCTTTTAAGGGGGTGACACTACACTTTAAAGGGTTAGCGGGGTTCAAAATACTTGCTATTTGGAGGGGTCTTGGTTCACTGTCTGATGAATTGAGGTGTTACAAATGGAGAATGCGCACCAAACTGCTCCTTTGCTAATTTTGCAAGTTAAACAAAACGGAAAGGGAACATCTGGTTACGGTTGAGTATTTTTCACTCTCGTGCAAAACTGATTCCAACTGTTGCGCTCACTCTCTACGGAGACACAGCAGACTTCCAATCATGCCCCAAACTGCTATAGAAGGAAAAACAAACCAACCGAGAATGAGAATAACGACTACATCCTTAACAACCGAGGGGCTAACCGTGGCAAAACGGGGATACCCCCTTCAAGGGAGAGACGCCATATGTAAGCCTGCGGCACCTTGAATCAATTCGCGGGTCCGTGGCGCTGGGATTACCGCTGCAAATTGGTCGAAATGGCGGGCTTTCCGCTGCTGTACATTGGCATGTTTCCTTGAGGTTACCCAAATAATGTGGCACCTTGAGGAAAGCTAGCTGTGGGAAAATGACTTCGCTGACTAATTGGATTTGCCAAATTAAAATACCCTCCTAGAGACAAACGTGGGCCGCGTCGTCGGGGATTCTCCGTAAACAAAAGAACAATCTTTAAGAACCTTTTTGGGTTCCTGATATCTTTTCCTTAATTCTTTCCCAGGCGTTTCAGATTGTTTTCTTTGTTTGACTTGAAGGAATATTCTCATTTATTTACCGAACACCATGTTTTAACCCCCCAAAATCCTTTGAGTACTACCTTTTTCCGAATTTCTATTTTTTTTATTTGGTTTAATTCATTTTTTGCCTTTTTTTAATTGTCTCATATTTGCTTTTTCAAGAGAAGCATTTTATCATTTTCTATTCTTTTAATAGTTTCGGCTATTTACGATAGTCTGCCAGATTTAATGATTTTGGGGGATCCGTGCAAGGAGTCTTAGAAAATTTTTATTTTCCAACCCCAAAAATATATTTAAAGTAAAGGGTAAAAAAGCAAGGAATGTGAGACCATTTGAAAATCCAATAGTTTCAGCAGTTTCTTAGTATCTGTCAACCATCACGTTTACACACAATGCCCGTTGACAAGGCAGCGATGTAGGCCATACAAAAGTCACACAAACAAGTACATGTATACCCAAATGCGGAGCACTTTTCGACAAGTACTTTTCGTCGTTTCGGGGTAGTAATCAGGTTTATGTAATTCTAATCTCATACTGGTACCCATGTTACTGCTTGGCTGCCAGAAACATTTTTATTTTTGTTTCTTGTGTGAAGTGATGTAATCGTTTTGCTTGTAAGCAAACCTCGTTTCACAAAGAATTATTGTCAAAAGTTGCTCTATATACGCCTACTTGATTAAAAATTGAAAACAGAACTTTGACCTTTTCCCATGCATTATAGAATCGAGTATCTATTCAGACAGTGCTGCGGTAATATCTTATCCAAGACAGACTCTATAAAACATGTTGGACCCTCCCGATGACATTCGGCTTCCGTTTTGTACAATCTTCTTGCCATCCTCTTCCTGCTTTCATTTGGCATTCCTGGGTAAGTCATTCAAAAGGATATGCCAGCAGATTACTGTCAGAGACTGCGCAGCTTCAAAGTTTAGGGGAAAATTGTTTAGCGTCGCTGCAAAAATGAAAATTCCAGCTAAAAGTTCAAGCGACGCATTGGAAGCGCTGCGAAGACTGCGCAGAACAGGACAAAAAAACTGCCGCACATTTTCAAGAAGGGTGGGCATCTTGTGATTTGGAGAACAGCCACTCAGCGAGATAGTATGCTCTGCCGTTGGGTGGTATTAGGGTGAGAGCACTCACAGCCGGGGAGATACCTCCCGACACTCCGGCAGACAAAGGGAAGATCCAAAGGCTTGAGCAATCCATGAAGGAAAGATAAAGCCGACAATTCCGGCTGTGAAAAGAAGACAGAAGCCGTGCCTGCAAACACAGGGATATAATTGCAACAATTGTACCTGTCCCTTGCTCACGCCTCCGGTCCACCCCCAGTCCACTGCTTCTTTCTTTGACAATGAAAAGGCGATCATTAAATTCTTTTCTACATGTTCTGCGGCACTTTCTTCTCTTTTTTATGCCACAAGCTCATTTCGGGCTATGCGACTTTGTGGCCACAGCAGATCATCGCTGAATGACTGAAAAATAATACACAGAACCTTTCACCTCTCGCTCGGCGCTACAAAACAACCGTACAAGGTCTACCTTAATATGGCAACAAGAAAAGTTTTGATAGCGCCTGTACGTATTGTCGGGGGCACCGCAGGGAGTCCCTCAGCTTCGCTGCGTGTAGCAGAGAGCTCCAGCCCTTCTATTCCGTTTGGGGGCCGTTCGCAACGACACCCTGAACAAAAAAAAAAATCAGTGTGGGTCTGCCTTCCATTTCCAACACCTAACACTTTTGTAATTTTTTCTGCTCTACTACGGGTTCAACCTTGTCACCTCCCCACTTTGGGCTATTGGGAAATCCTCAACAAAAACACTTTCACGTATTCATGGCCTGAGTCTTAACTGTATACCCCCACTGCCCACACCTTCAACCACCAACCAACCGCGGTGTTCACACGCCAGGATTTACACATGCCTACTTGGCCAGCCCATTGTACGGAAGCCCACAAGTCTACAAATGCTTTCGCCAAGAGCTTTTGCTCTTGCCACCCACACGAGAAGCCCCGAGCTTTTGTTTCTCCTCTGGCGTACGTGTATGTGGCCCTTCACGCCGATTCCCCAGGAACGGTTACATTTTGCATCGATCCCCCGTTGACGGAGAAATACTTACTGGGTTGACTCGGGGGCACGTCAAAAGTGGGAGTCTGAGACGAGGCCAAAACCTCGTTATATTGCTGGGGAAAAAAAATTGGAAGCACGCGTTCTCTGTTCAAGTTTTGCTATTTTGACCTACTCAGGGGTTGCGCAACACCCTGGCTGATCGGTCAAAGAAGTGTTTTCTATTATTGTCTGTGTTTGTCCAGCCCCGTTGAACGCGAGTGAAATGTGCCTCGGGCGCGCAAAGGTGTGATTCGGCAGACTGGGTTGAGCCAATGCTAAAGAACTTGTTCCCCCACCCCACCAACCCACCCCAAAAAAACACGACAACAAGCGACAGAAGCACGAAATCAAACGACTCGGTTTAGCATTCTCAGGACAAGGTACATAACTGTTAGAAACGCTATCCATAGAAAACTATATCACATTGTTATCAATTTTCTAAATGCTTATCAGAGATTGGTTGAATCTCTGATGTCAGTCTCCTTAATGTACCTAACAACTACAGGTATTTTCAAGATGTGTTTTTGCGTTTGGGAGATGTTAATTATATATAATTATATATAAGCAGGAGGTCGTGGGTTCGAGTCCCACCCGAGTAAGCTTGTGAG